AGAAGGTGGATGGAGAAGTGTGGGTGAATGTGCAAAGGGAAGAAACATTTTTTGAGAGGTTTTTGCTATAGGGCACGTGCACTCGGCAGAGAGACAGAGAGAGACAGAGAGACAGAAAGCGAGAAATCACTCCCCAGGGGGAATGGCCACGCCACAATCCCTTCTCCTCCATTCTCTTCTCAGGATCTTAGGCACATGTGCACATGCGCCCGACATTAGTTTAAGCCACTGGGTTCAGGACTCAAACTGCACTCGACTACATGGGAGTCCAGCAACATAACCATTATGCTAACTGCTGGCCCCAGGAAGAAACATTTAACAAACAAAAGAATATAAATTTATGGAGAAAAAGTCCTGTAATTTTTGCTTTATAAAACTGAAAATAAAAATCTATAAAAAAAGAAATTTTAAACTTGTAGCACATGTTAAGATTTGTCATATCTTCAAGTCTTTCCATTTGCCATTAAATCCTCTATAATCGTCATTTTTCATCAAACAATAGTTGCAAAGCTATTACAGTAAAGAAGATAAGTATAGATACCAGAGACTGTAAGGGAGGGAAGTGGGTGATAGATAGTGGGTGGGAGGGGAAAAGAGAAGAAACATTTAACAGACAAAAGAATGTAAAATTCTCTGTTAATAAAAAGTTCTGTAATTTTTGCTTTATAAAAATAAAAATTAATAAAAAAACAATTTTTTTCAAAGAGCTATCAGGGGACCAACAGATGGCATAATGGTTATGTTGCTAGAATCCCACGTAGTGGGCCATGGTTTGAGTTCCAGACCTGGAGCTCAAAATTCATGCTAGGCACATGTGTGTACATACCCAAAATTCTGAGAGGACAATAGAGGAGAAGGGATTGATCCTTGGCCATTCCTTATGGAGTGGTGATTTCTCACTTTCTGTCTCTCTGTCTCTGCAGTGAGTGTATGTGCCCTATGCAAAAATCCCACTCAAAAAAAAAAAAAAAGAGCTGTCCCTTAACCTTCCTTTCTAAAACATTTGGTAATTAAAGGAGGTATATTTAAATTTCTTTATATACCATGGGCTAAGATTTGACTACTACATGGATTGTATCATTTAATTTTTACATGTTAAAATGACAGGAGATAATACTATTAGGAGCTTTTTCTACATTTGCAGAAATGGGACTCAGAAGGCTTAACTGATCTGCCCAACATATGAACTCAGTACGGGTTAGCTTTGATATAGACTTTGTTGAGATTTTTTTCCAGATCTCATGTTCCTGTCCAACAGATATCAACATGGATAATTGTACCCCTAGGGGACACTAAGTAATGTCTGGAGAAGATGTTGATTGTTACAACTGAGAAGGTGTCCCTGATACTTAATGGGTTGAAGGCAAGGAGATGCTCAACATCTTAGAATGCACAGGACACCTACCACAGAGAATTATCTAACATAAATATCAACAGAGGGATAGGCCAGCAGGTGGCACAGTGGTTTAGGTAGCCAGATCCCACAGGGTCGACAGAATGGTTCATGTCCCAGACCTGGTGGCTTGAAAATTTTGTGCATGAGTGCCCAAAATTCTGAGAGAATAGTGGAGAAGGGATAGTAGTACCCTATAGAAAAGTAATTTTTAAAAATAGCAATGGGTGTCAAAATTGGTTATATTCCATCTATAATTTGTAATAAGTTGAGTTATTATTTTGAATTCTGTTGTATTCTTTGATGAGATTGTACAAAAAGAAATGTCTTGACAAAGTAGAAGACCCCCACAGGAGAACTATTTACATGATGAGATATCAAAAACCAAAAATAATTTGAGGCCAGCAGGTGACATAGTGTTAAGGCATCTGGACTTCCACGTGGCTGACTGCTTCAAATCCTGGACCTGGTGACTTAAATATCACATCGATCAAATGTGTAACCCCAAAATCCCAAAAGAAGAATGGAGGAAAAGGGATTGCAGCATGGCCATCCCTCCCGAAGGGTGATTTCTCAATTTCTGTCTCTCTGTCTCTTTCTCTCTCACTCTGGTGAGCACACATGCCCTAAGACAAAAACCTTAAAATAATAATAATGATAACAATACTTAGCGATTAACCAGAAGAAAAAAAATAAGAAAATAGTAATTCTTTTGCTGCATCAGTGAAGACTGGCTGGTGATGAAATTTGTCTATAACTGAAAGGATACTGGAATAGTTTCTTGTATGTCTCTAAATACTGTCCCTATTTGGAGTACCTGGTAGGAGACTTGAAGTCTCTATTGAGCAAAAGTCTTCTCAAGCCTGATGTTCAGAACATCCACAGTAGACTTACACCTAACCCATCACCATATTTCAGATTCTTATATCTCTGCTGTTTATTTGCATTTCAAATGTCATCTCTTCTAATAAAGGCTCTCAACAAATGCCAGCATGGGCAGGAGTTGGGGGCATTATAAGATGAGCAGGTCAATCACAAGATAAGGGGTGCATGGGCAGGGATGGGGACAATATTAGTGAGGCTACTTGTAACTAGTCTGTTCATCAAAGATTTAGACATGAGGATCCAGGACTATATTTATTACCTGAAGGAAGAGGGTTTCTTTCTTTCTTAGATAGGGACAGGTAGTTGGAAGTGAAGGACATTTAAGCAAGGAATATTTACTTCTGGGGTGGGCTCAAACCCCTGGAACAGAATTTCCATAGGAGCTAATTAAGCATATGCTTTCATTCTCATTCTTTTTTCTTAGAGTTCAACCACCAGAGATGACAGTGAAAGAGACATCCTTTAAGGCTTGAGCCTGGTGTAGAAGTTTTAACTTTCTTGGATCATTAGAATATGTCAGTTTTAATGGTGTGTCTTGATGGTCTTCAGTGCATTTTTGTGATTCTGTGGAACTCTGCCTCAGTTATGTGAAACAAATTTTCAATAAGAAAATCCAGGCTATCCAGCAGGAGAGGAATTATGAAAAGGGCCAGTTGTCTTAATTGAGGTCCCCCTAGATAAACCAACACCCAGCTAAGTCTTCAATTATGAGAAACCTCTCCCAACATCAGCAACACCTCCTCATTTGATTCAAAGATGACTATAGATTCATGAAGAGACTGGAAAAGCTCAAAAATATTGCCACTCATGTAATCACATTAGTTAACAAAAGTATTACATTAAACCACTTTCTTTTAGGATATCTTGTTAAGCAGCAGTAAATAACTGACACAATAACCAAACTAAAGAGGATGAAGAACAATTATAATCATTTTATGCTTTTTATTTTTTACCTTTTATCCTCATATTTGAAGACTACTTTCATTATTACTCAGTTATTCAGTTGTTTGATAAGACAGTATTAGAAAGTGACTAATACAACATTCTTTTCCAGGAAACCAGGAGAGGTTAATGAGATATGCATATTTGTGCAGAAATGCTTGTGACCTAGAGTCACATGACTGCACAGAAATTCAAGGTTACTTTTGATCATGAAGATTAAAAAGATATCTGTGAATAAAGGAGATATAATATGGATGACACTGACAATGGTTATTCACTATCCCTTTAATGTTTATGACAGATGATATAACTCATTTAGAGAAGATGAAAAGATTTATATATTTAGGAAGCACAGGAAATTTTCAATAAGAAATAGGAAGATGTTTCAATAGTAAAAAATACATCATACTAAACCAGCCTTCACCAAAATGAATAAATGAATAATCTCCTTTATACATGAACATCAATCTTCTATACATGCTTAGTAGGTGGAGACTTCAAATGAAATATTTTGCATAGTATTGTGATGCATAGCTTAAAATTTAGTGCATCATATTTAAATTCATTTGACTTTAAGACCATAAAAAGACAAACCATTTATTGTAGGTGTCTTTCCAAGCACATTCTACTTGGAATCCTGTGGGTAGTAATGGCTCTTTTACAATGACTAGGAAGGCATTGTGGACACCAGAGTAGGTAGGAAACAGAAACTTAAAGGTGAGAATAAAACTCAATCACAAGTTATAAAATAAATTTGTTGTCATCAACTCTACATTTTCATGAAGAACAATTGGTCATATATCATTGAATGATAAAAAGAAAATTTTACATTTGTGTGTCTTCTACTATTGAGTTATATAAATGATCTTAGCCACCAAGTATAGTGATTCTATTCCTATAAGAAAAGATGAGCATATGATTTTTTTAGTAGAAGAAAGGAAAACCTTTTTCAGTATATACCAGTTGAGAGAAAAAAAAATTTTTTGAGAGTTTTTTTTCTATAGGGTGTGTGTGCTCGCCAGAAAGACAAAGAGAGACAGAGAGACAGAAAAAGAGAAATCACTCCCCAGGGGGGATGACCACACTGCAATCCCTTCTTCTCCATTCTCCTATTGGGATCTTGGGCATGCATGCACACATGCCCGGCGTGAGTTCAAGCCACCGGGCCCGGGACTTGAACCACGGTCCACTACAGTGGAGTCCAGAGACATAGCCATTATGCCATCTGCTGGTTCCAAAAAAAAATATTTTTAATAAATCCACATTGCTCCATGAAATTAATAGGTATTTCCAAGTATTTCTGATCTATGGTTGGGATAAACTTGGAACATACAAAAAGGACAAAGTAAAATCCTGTTTATACATCAGACAGAGAGACCAGCAGATGATGTCGTAGTTACAGTGCTAACTTGCAAATGGATGATCACAGTTCAAGTCCTGGGCCCTGTGGATTGAAAAATCATGCTGAACACATGTTTCAGAGTGCCCAGAATCACAGTAGGAGAAGGAATTATGGCAAGGTCATCTCCCTAGGGGGTGATTTCTCACTTTTCATCCCACCATCTCTCTCCATTTCTCTCTGGAGAGCACATGTGCCCTATGTCAAAAAAAAAATTTTTTTTAATTAGATGATCAGACAGTAGAAAAGTGAGGTACTTATGCTGTATAGAGAAGCTGAAACTGAGCTCTTGGAAGTCCTAGAAGATAATCAAATGGAATGAGTTCTACTTCCAGCATCTGGTCAAATTATCACCCTTTTTACATGATGCTGAGAGCTCTGCTAACAAGCACACTTCTTCAATAGCAGGACAGTTGATCCTTTGATAGTTTTCCTGCAAAGGAAACTTCTCAGAGCCCTTTTTATGTCTTTATTCCTCAGACTGTAGATGAAGGGGTTCAGCATGGGAGTGACCACAGTGTACATTACCGAGGCTCTTGCACTTGATTGTGAATTTTGGATAACAGCAGAACTAAGATACACTCCTAGACTTGTACAATAAAATAAGGAGACAACAGAGAGGTGAGAGGCACAGGTGGAAAAGGCTTTATACTTCCCCTGAGCTGATGAGATTGAACGGATGGAGGAAACTATCTTATAGTAAGAGTAAAGGATCCCAATGAGGGGACCACCAACCAGTACCACAGCTGAGAAATAAATCATCACGTCATTGATAAAAGTGTCAGAGCATGCAAGGTGGACCACCTGGTTAAGTTCACAGAAAAAGTGGGGGATTTCTAATGGTGTACAGAAGGACAGCCGCAATGCTATTAAACTATGTAATAATGAGTTCAGGACATTCGTGATCCAAGACAACAAAATCAGCAACACACAGAGCCAGGAGTTCATGATGACTGAGTAGTGCAAGGGGAGACAGATGGCCACATACCGGTCATAGGCCATCACGGTCAGGAGGGAGGCATCCAATCCTGTAAAAGCTATGAAAAAATACATCTGGGTGATGCAGCCTGCATAGGTGATGACCTTGCTCTGTGTCTGGATATTCACCAGCATCTTTGGGACACTGGTGGAGATAAAACAGATGTCCACAAAGGACAGGTTGGCAAGAAAAAAGTACATGGGAGTGTGCAGGTGGGAGTCTGAGATGGTGGCCAGGATGATGAGCAGGTTTCCAATGATGGTGATCAGGTACATGGAGAGGAAAAGCCCAAATATGAGAGGCTGTAATGTGGGTTTCTCAGAAAGTCCCAGAAGAAGAAATTCTGAAATTCTTGATTCATTTCCTGGTTCCATGGGATGGAAGTGACTACTAGGAAAAAGAAATTAAAGTGACCAGTTTTTCATTCAAAATAGGTCACAGAGTTAGCTCACAGAGTTCACAATAATTACTTGAATAATTGAAAGGCTACATTTTATGTTTTTGTGTAAAACAATTAATATTTCTACTTTTTTATTGCTATGGGGATCATGTATTTGTTAGAGACTGAGAAACTGGGCATGGAAAATCAGCCCCCAATGGGGTATGGTCATGGCACCATACCTTAACCTCCATCTCTGCATTCTGTCATGATTTTCATTATGTATGTACTCATACCCAGAGTGTTTTCCAAGCAGCCAGGGTTGGGATTTGTACCACTGTCAATCATGTGAGATGTAGCTTCTTGAATCACTAGGCTGCAGTGCTGATCCATTCTTTTTATTTTGTGTATGGTTACCCTCCCCTTTAGCACACCCCACCCTCCCAGTCAATGTCTGATTGGAAATTACTAACCCATTCTCTTCATGTATTTATTTTAATTTGATTATAGAGGGAGAGAGAGAGAAAGTGAGAAAGCAAGCTGCCAGGTCTGGGACTTGAACCATGGTCAGCCATGCAGAAGTCCAGCACCCTTAACCACCACACCACCTGCCAGCCCCACTATCCCATTCTCAACCTTTCCCCAAATTCTTAGATAATTTATGTAACGTAAACTGCAAGCCCACCAAATTCCATGCACTGTGTCAGTAATGTATATAAGTTGCTGATGAATTGACATATTTAAAAATTATTGATGGATAGTATGAAACAATAAAGAATAATCATGTGGCATATCACATATTAACAATTGCTTTGAAGACAATGACATTATGTAGAAATGAGAGCATGGGCAGGGGGACTATTAACTGTCAGATAAGATGACATTTGAACAGACACTTCAGGGAAGAGAGGACGGGAGCTACAAAGATATCTGGAGATACGTAGGTCTTGCAGAAGAAAGAAGCCAGAGGGAGAATAATGAGATGATGTCAGGAGATTTAGAAGAATGAGGGGAGCTGATGATGCTGAAACTTGAAGACACTGAGGGTTCTTCAGTCATGTGCTGTTCTAGCCCTCTATGAATGCAGCCCTCTAAGAGTGGAGACATAGCAGCCAGATTCCAATTAGCAAGCTTCCCATGAACATGTGAACTTGGGACTACACTGTGAAATAACCACTTTATGCTGTGTGTTTATAGAACATTTTAAAAAAGAGAATTAGAGTAAATAGAACACATTTTTCAAAAGGGTTGTATTCAATAAAATGTAATGAGAATATAAAGTAAATTATTTTTTAAAAACTTTAAAATGTAAATTTAATCACATTAACATTGGTCTCCTATTTCAGGTTAAATTGAAAAGATCTGGATATGAAATAATGAAATGTAGTGTGTGTGCGTGTGTGTATATATATATATATATATATATATATATTTATTTATATATAAACAAGTTTTTGCAATAGAGTGCATATCCTTGCCAGAGAGAGAGAGGCAGTGAGAGGGCATGTGAGAAATCACTCCCCAGGGGAAATGGCCAAGCCACAATCCCTTCTCCTCCATTTTCCTCTCAGGATGTTTGGCACACACACACACACATGACACATGCCCAGGATTTTCAGGCTACTTGGTCTCGGACTCAAACTGCCTTTGGCCATGTGAGAGTTCATTGATGTAACCACTACACCATCTCTTAGCCTTCAAACATATATTTTAAGGCAGTGGAAGAAAAAGTATCAACTGTATCTATTGTCAAAATTTTGTACTATATAAACAAATGGATTCAAATATGTTGATGAAAAAGATACACATTTTAGGTGAACACAAAAAAATTGGTTGTCCAAGATGGAAAAAAATGATTGAAACGATTCTTCAGTTAAAAAAAAATAGATTTAATCATAAAACACACACCTGCTTGTAATAAGAAAAACAAATGTGAAATAAGATTGTGAATGTTATAAAAGAAAATTTATTACTACTAATGATTCAGAAGATGTTCTTAAGTTTAAAAAGTAATGAGGGTTCCCAGCAGGTTGCATGAAGGGTGAGGCAAAGGATCTCTCATGGCTACCTGGATGGGTTGAGTTCCATACCTGGCAGTGTGAATATGATGGCAGTCATGATTGTATCTGCACCCAAACTTCAGGGAGGAGAATGGAGGAAAGGGGTTTGTGGTGTGTCTGTACCCCCAGAGGGTGTGTCACCACCGTGGAGGGTGCTTTGTCACTTTCCCTCTCTCTTTCTCTCTCTCTGTCTCTCTCTGATAAGCACATGTGCCCTAGAGAAAAAAAATAAACAAACAAACAAAAAAAAACTAAGAAGAAAGCAATCAGTATAATAGGTATGTGATATGACTGACTCATAGAATGTAACCTCACCAAATTTAGAATTTTTCACATAGTACCTATCACCATATTTATCTATCTTCTATCTATCATAACTAAATAAAAAATGGCAAACGTACTACAAAAACTCCAATTCTTAGAAAAAATAAAACCAAAAGGCCCTGACTATGAAAAAGTGAAAATTCTGCAAGGTGCAAGGAAAATTTCCATTGATGTAACTCTAAAGTATTTTCAGTCTCAGCAGTAATGAAATAATTCATGTGTGAAGCTGTTTGGTTTTCTCCAGTGTCCTATCAAATAAAACTAAGGGTTTTCTTTTCTTTTCTTTCTTTCTTTCTTTCTTTCTTTCTTTCTTTCTTTCTTTCTTTCTTTCTTTCTTTCTTTCTTTCTTTTTCTTTTTTTTTTGTGACTACCCACCTTGAGGAAGATAAAGCAAAATCTGTCTTATGAACTGCTATTGCAAGATAGTATTTGTAAGCTATCTATTGATCTGATTTTTATAATGAATATAGAAATATGCCCCAATAATCACATCTTAAAAAGTAAATAAAATAGCCCATATATCCCTCCAAACAAAATACTCAGTTTTCCTACCCACTTATTGCAAATTTCTCTGGTAATGTTCTAAATTTTACACTTCTGGTTCCTTCTTTGATCTTCTCCAACTGAATTTCCATTCCCATCAGTTAATTCTCACCTGCCTTGCTGAGTCTAACAGACACTCCTATGTTTAATATATGAAATATATTAACCAGGAATGAATTAGCAAAGCAATCAAGAAAGCACAGTGACTCTGTGGCTCTGGGCTATGCTTGTTTGGGCTCGAGGGGACCTCAGATAAACATTCTGATCGTCCATCCTCTGTGCACCTTTCCTGCAGTACCTTCTGGCTCTCAGACTCACCTTGCTGAGGTTGCTGAGAAGGTGGTATCCATTTAGGTTTCTGAATTCCTCCCTGAATAGTTGATTATAGAGACTAAAACTTTGTTCTCCAACAAGATGGCAGGAAGGAATGAAGCATTGTTTTCAAAGCTAGGTTTAGGACTACAGAATAAAAGTCAACCATGTCTTGGCCACAAAAGGAGACAGCAGAGGAGATATTTACAGCTCCCAATATTGGCTCCTTTGTTACTTTTCACTCTGGTGACTCCAACTCCTGGGCACTTGATATCCCTGTGGAACAATGGTATGGGGATAAAGATTTTTCTGATCACTCTCTTTTCCCAAGAGATCAAGTTAGAAGTCAGGTGAACTCGGTCATTATTTTTCCTCCTTGAACTCACCTTCCTCTGGAGGTCTAACCACTTTTACTCAATCCCAAGATAAAATGTTCTCCCAAGTATGAGGTATATGCTAAGTTCCTTGGAACTGCAAATCATTCAATTGTAGCCAGGAAACAGTACTTCATATCTCTAGAAAAATAGCTGCTCTTTATTTTTTTCAAGGGAGAGATCTTTATTGTTCTATGAAAGCTTAGACAACTAATACAATGCTTAGATTAGTGCTGCTTTTGAGGAGACATATAGAAATTTCATACTTGGCCATATGGTAGTTTTATTTGTAGATTTTTGAGGAACCTCTATTTTAGAGGTTGTACTAATTTACTTTCCCACCAACAGTGTAATAAGTTTTCCTTTTTACCACAGCCTTATCAGCAATTGTCGTTCTTTTTTTTTTGTGACCCTAGCCATTCTAATTGGTGTTAAATGGTATCCCATTGTGACTTTAATTTACATTTTTCTTATGACAAGAGATTTTAACATGTTTTCATATGCCTTTTGATCATTCGTGAGTCTTCTGTAGACAGTGTTCTACTCAGTTCATTTGCAAGGCGGATGAATAGAGAGGGCTTAATGTGAAGAATAATGAGGCAGACTTTGAAAGATACACACTGTATATCCCCACTCAATATGTACTGAACGTTTGCACTCTACATCTGAAATTGAAAGACCCAAAGATACAAGAGTAGAGAGAATTAGTGTAGATACCAGAGACTATAAGGGAGGGGAATGAGTGGTAGAAAGTGGCTGAGAGAATGTGGGTGGGAGGTGCAAAGGGAAGAAATATTTCACAAAGAAATATAAACTTCTATGTGGAGAAATATAAGTCCTGTAATTTTTGCTGTATAAAATTGAAAGTTAAATAAATATATAAAAAATTTTCAAGCTTGTAACACAAGTTAAGAGTTGTCATATCTAGATATTTCCATCTGTCATTATCAGTAAGTCCCCTATAATTATCACTTTGCATCAAATAATAGTTCCAAAGATATGATAATAGAGAAGATAAGTGTAGATACCAGAGACTGTAGAGGAGGGAATTGGTGATAGATAGTGGGTGGTAGACTGTGGGTGAGAGGGGCAAAGGGAAGAAACATTTCACAGAAAAAAGAATGTAAAATTCTTTGTTGATAAAACAAATAGTTTTTTTTTCTTTTTGTTTTATAAAAATAAAAATTCATAAAAAATAATGTTTTCAAAGAGCTATCATGGGACAAGCAGTTGACATAATGGTTACATCACTGAACTCCCACATAGTCGGCCATGGTTTGAGTACCAGACCCGGTGGCTTAAAACTCAGGCTGGGCATGTGTGTATGTTTGCTCCAAAATTCTGAGAGGAGAATGAAGGAGAATGAATTGAGGCAAAACCAC